TTTTATAGCTTTCTTTCAACAAATATTTACTACGACAATTATACTATAAGTATCTGGATTGCTATAATCCATATAAAGATTTATTTAATTTGATCGAAAATCTCCTAATAATTCAAATTTTGTGCTTCAAGCAACTTAAATCCTTTAGAATTTTTCATATAGATATCGATATCATACAAATAAGATATAGCTACATTCATTAAATGTATTTCAATCTTCTCATCTATTGCTAGACTAGATAATATAAAATTGTAATTTCATCCATCACAGATAATATATCTCTTCATATTTAATACTAGATTTTTAGATAAAACCTAGTGCAACAAGCCGTACTTTATATCTCATAATCTCAATTTTCTCATTTCATATTCATACAAATACCCATTTATATTCCATTGGTTTAACATTATTTGGTTTACGTACTATAGGTAAAAAAACTTCATGTTTTGCAAGTGAATTCAATTTCACTTTGATTAGGTCTTTCCACATTGGCCAATCATTTTTATGTATACATTCTTCAATAAATATAAGTTTAATATCCTCATTTTTCTTTCATAATATTGAACTATATGTTATACACAAAATATCATTGACGTTTATTTACCGGTTCCATCTTTTCTTGTCATACATAATTGATTAAGATCTCTTTATTTTTAATGATTTTAGATACCTTAATTTCTTTTGAAATTTTATCAATTATGTCAGGGGTCTCTTCTAGAGTTTGTATTTCATCTTTCTGATTATCTTGAATATTTACTCTCTTTTTTTTAGGATTTTATATTAGAAACCGTTTGGTCTACATGCTTCTAGCATGCTTTGTCCTACAGGGACATCAATGTTAATAGGAGCATTTTGTAGTTGGTTTATAAGATTTAATTATTCTCTTTAGGTTAGTAAATACGTCTAGTTACTAATTTATTATATTTTGTAAAAGAATTATCTTTTGAACTTCAATTTCATATTGATTTGTGGGAGGATCAAAACTAGATAATGATAATTTATTCTAAGAAGTTTCCTTTTCCGGCTGCTTATTTTTTTTCCCTAATATTGAAAAAATTGTTTCATCAATATGACAACTGATAAACTTTTTTATGAATAAATCTCTTATTGATAATTCTAAATATTTAATTACAAATAGAGATTTGTATTCAACATATATTCCTAACCTCCTTTGAGGACCCATCTTTGTGTGTTGTGGTAGAGCAATTGAAATATATACCGCACATTAAAAAATTCTTAGATGAAAAATATTTTACTCTTGACCATGAACCAATTGTATAGAAAGAATTTATAATAATTTGTTTGGCTTGATGCATACAAATGCTGCTGCATCCAAAATGGCATGCCCCCAAACAGACATTGGGAGTTTGAATTTCATAAGTAATGGTCTTGCAATTAGTTGGAAGTGTTTAATAAACAATTCTGCTAGACAATTTTGTGTATAAATATAAGTAACAGGTTGTTTAATAGTTATTTCAACTAATATGCAATATTAAAGGCTTGATATATAAATTCATCAGTATTGTCAAAATAAATAATTTTGATTATATAATCAAGAAAATGTGCTTGTAAACGAATAATTACAAATGCCAAATTGCAAGCTGATAA